TGGGTGATTTCCGAACCTCTTCTTGGTCTAGTTTTGTCACCTACAGAACACAATTGACACTTCTCACCTCAGAGGTGTTCAAAGATTGTAGTTTGAGGTATATGAAATACTGACGTGGCAGAAACGTGCTTGCTCCATGTTGTTGGTTTTGGTCTCTGCTGGGCTCTCCCTTTCTTTCTCTGGAGCCTACAGTGAAGCCCTTTATTTCTCCAACTCCTGAGCCTCTTCCCTGAACAAACAGGAATGAGGGGTACCACTGACAATATGAAGGGGTGCTTAAGGCAAAGGAAGTACTTAGGGTCCTTACTTTCCATTCTGCTTTTCTGGTGTGTGTGAGAGAGAGACAGAGGGAAAGAGAGAGATGGAGAGAGACAGAGACAGAGAGGCTTTGAGTAGGGTCTTATTTCAGTCCTCACATGCAGGCACTTTCTCTCTTGAGCCTTCCCGTGAGCAGGGCAGTGGGAGGAAGTCATTGACTTGTGTGGGGCACCTTGCAAAGATGCTGTTGCAGGTGTGACCGGCTGCTGTTATGGCATGTGCCTAGGAGCGCCATGGGCCAGCGTGGGCCCCAGCTGCAGCAGAACATGGAGGGAGCAGTTGCTCCCTGCCCCTCAGCAGCCCACCCTGCCAGCCATTTCCATGGCCCTGAAGCTTCTGTGACTGTGTAATGTGCGAACCTATGAGCAGTAGCATTCTGTCCTTTAAATCTTGCCCAGGGTTTGGTTGAGATGGCCAGCCTTGGTCATGCGAAGGACCCTCATTGCAGGCGTTGTCAGAAAGTGACGGGCTTTACTGTTTCAGTGTGTGATTTCTTATATGTGTCCACTGGCTAATTACATAGCTGCCTGGAGTCCCAGGTAAGATGTTCAGGTGCGTTCAATCTATGGCTCCATTTTCATGTTCTTGGTCACTCTGAGTGGGGAATGAGACAGTGGCCATGGCGTTAGTCAGCCATGCTCATGTTGGCTCATTTCAGTGTGAGCACAGGCTGCACGTCTGTTGTGATTGAAGTGACTCAGTTTTCTCCTCAGGAAATCTCATTTCTTGGCAACCTGAACAGGATCTAAGGATCATGTTGAGGCATCTCCTGTAAGAGCTGATGAAGCATGAGCCCCGTAGCTCTACTCTAGTAAGATATTTTTATCAACTGCAGCGAGTTCCGGGCTTGGCTCTCGGACAACTGAAGCTTAATTTTAGTGGACACCCACCTAACAGGAAGTAACATATGGCTGCCCATCAGTTGTCTTCTTACGTTTTGACATCACTCCTCTTCTTGATGTACATTAATGTACAACTGCAGGTCTCTAATCCATGTTTAAAATATTACATTTTAGTTCCTTTACATTACATTCATTCAATGAACTATTTTCCATTATTCTCTAAAATAAAAAGGAGAGAATGTTTGGGTTGAAGTCCATTTTTATTCATGTTATTAGTCTGTCTGTGAGATGCATATGTCTTTCTGAATCAGTGCATCCATAATAAGTAATTCCTGGATGTTGGGAATAACCAGGAAAAGGAACCATGACCCTTTCTATTCACTGTGTTCATGGGAAAAAGATGGCAGCCTTTTAAAGAGTGTGCACTCTGGTGCACTATAATCCCTGCACTTGGAAGGCCAGGTCGGGAGAATCAGGAATTTTAGGCTACAGAGCGACGTGGTCACAACCCCCACCCAAACCAAGAGCAGACAGATACTCGGCAGTGAGAAACTAGCCACCTGAGGTTACGGAGCAAACTGACGGGACAATCAGGACCAAGAAAGAGGATTCATGGGTTTCAGGTTTACAGCTTGTGTCTTCTGGTAAAGGGGTTGTGTGGGTCGGGAAAGGTTTCTTCTTGTGTTTGTTTCTGGAAGTTTTCACAGTGTCTCACAAGAGGCCTAGTAAGTGCTTCATACATATGCAATAGGTGGGGGGAAACGGTGTGAAGAGAGGAGGCCCTGCATGCTTGCTGAGTGAGGACCCTGAAGCTCGGCAGTAAAAGGTGAAATGATAGCAGCTAAGGCACAGATAGGAGGGCCAGCGCTCCAGAGTGTTCTTGAAGATGCTGAGCGGCCCTCAGACAGGGAAGAAGCAGCTCTCTCCTAGGCGGGTCCACACACAGCGAGGGGAGGAACAATCCGTGGTTCTTTTGACCTTGTCTTTGTAACTTGTTACTTCTGGTCAGCCCTGCACCCTGACAGGAAGGAGTCTTTCAGGAGCAGTCAGAAAGGCCTCTTTGAGTGTACCGGGTCAGCACCGCACTGAGACCCACAAAGAGCCCTGTGGCTTCCCCAGCCCGGGAGCGGCAGTCCCCGAGGTAACGGAGCAGAGCTCCCCGGGGCCTACTTGCAGCTGCACAGGAGGTTTGACAGTAGGGCTGTGTTCTGTGAAAGACAGGTCCTGCTATGTCGCCTGTTGTCCCCCGGGGACCAGCAGCTTGTCTAACCTTTATCTCTCAGCCCTGAGGAGCCCATCACTGTCCCTGCTCCCCTTACCTGTCTTTAGAAAGGGGCCATGGCGGCCGCTCTGTTCAGCTGGATTGTGTGACTGCAACCAGGAGGCTGCCTGGTGTAGGGTGGCAGCGGAGAGAAAGGGAAGCTGTTTGTTTCCTGTGTGAGAATATTCCTGCCCAGCTTTTCAGAACTTGCTTTTACCTAAGGAAGGCTTTTTCTTGGACCAGCTCACGTGAAGAATTTGCTTTGTTAAACTGACTGAGACAGTTTAAAGAATACATGTAGATTGTCAGCTTTTCTCTGCCACATTGATTTATTTTTTATTTCTCCTTGTTCAGGATAAAAAAATAACTTACCACAACAACTCATCTTTACAGAAAAGATCTGGTGTATATGGAAGTTTTAAGTTATTTAATATTTCAATAATTGAAGATACTATGTAGGCTCAGATGATGGAAGGCCTCAGGAGAGCTCACTGGGAATGTGCACAGACAAGGCCAGAGGGGCAGGCATGAAAACATGGGCTAGCTTATAAAATTTTCTTTTAAAAAGCAATGTGCAGCTCCTTAGCAGTGTTTATTAGCATTTCTGGATAGAGAGTCAGCACTTTCATTTGTGTGACGAAAGGTAATTAGTGTGGGAACTTTCTAGGGCAGAGTCAGGGTAAACTGTGGTGGAAGGTTCACGTACCACACAACGATGCCTGGCGGGGTGTGACTGGCAAGCACAGCCAGTTATTCTAAGACGTGGAGGTGGCGGGCTCCAAGCCGGCCTCTCTAAGGAAGCACGTCTCCGAGCCCACGTGTTCAGCGCTCTTAAACATGGGTTGGGGGCCAGTAAATGGCGGCTTCTCTGTTCCTCCTGGACCGCAGCGGACGGTGATAATCACTCCCCATTGTGCCTAAGCATCTGTGGGTGAGGGTGCCGCTTCCTAGATTGTTAGGTGGGAAAATTAGCTCCCACAGTGACCGTACAGCGAGAACTTAGCTGATGTGGTCCACACAGAGCTAAGCAGATGAATGGAAAAGTAAGCGTCTTTATGTAGCGTCATGTGGTAGGTGCTGTGAGACCAGAGCTCCATCCTGTGTGCCAGTGCGGGCACCCACGTTCTCAGCATGAAAGCTCACTAGGGATCGATCCACCACCTCCCCAGGGATGGGGCTCCACTCGGGAAGGAGCTATCTAGGTCAGCCACCTCATGGCTCTGAGCACACAGGATCTCACCTGATCCTAGAGGCCAAGCAGAGTCAGGCCTGGTTCGCAGTTGTGTGGGAGGAAGGAAAACCTGGACTTTGAGGGAAGGCCTGCGGGTCCACCATGGGAGTCAGAGGATTTGAACAGAGAATGGTATGACCAGGTAGGGATGTGGGTGGCAGGTTGCTCTGATGTATATGTGTATGTATGTTTGTGGGTGGGTATGCTTTTGTGTGTCCACGTACATACACATGAGTGCTCATGTATGTGGCGATCAGAAGAGAGCCTTGGTGTCATTCTCAGGCATTAGCCACTTTGATATTTGAAACATGGCCTCTCACTGGCCTATAGCGTACAACCTGGACTAAGCTGGCTGGCCGGAGTGAGTCTCAAGGATCTGTCTCCATGTTAACAGTACACCAGCATACCCATTGCTTTCTGTAACATGGGCTGTGTGGATCTACACGCTTACAAGATGAGGGTGTTGTGGGCTGATCTATCTCTCTAGCATCCTGACACTCAGACCTTAAATTCTTGTATTATTGTCCATTTCATGTATGTATACATTATATTATGACCATAATCTATAATGTCCTCTTTGAGTCCAAGGAACACTTAAATCTTAGTGAAAAAACATTGGTGGGGCTGAAGACAAAGGATTCAGGAAGTGTGTAAGAGGTAGGCTGTGAGCCTGAGTTGACCCCTGTAAGCCACTGGTGATCCACTTTAAGTGGAAGGACGTGGCTGCAGGAGATCCATCTATTGAAGTTTCTAGGGTGGTTAGGTGGGGAGGGAGGCAGACTGGACAGCTGGAAGATCCCCTGAGAGGCCGAAGTGGCCTTCCAGGTAGAAGTGAAAGAGGCTGAATGGGAGTGGTGCAAGAGAAATGGAGCTCCAGGCTTGTTGGGAGTGAGGTGAGGGGGAGATGGAGCCCCACACTTGTTGGGAGTGAGGTGAGGGGGAGATGGAGCTCCAGGCTTGTTGG